GATATCTATATTCTGTGCAAAAACGAGGGGAAAATAATATAATAATGATAAAGTAAAAATTTGATCAACGATAATACACCTCTAGGCTTAGCTCACAATAATGTGTATACCTGTGATGTAAATCTAACTCGGGCTACAATGTAAATATAGTCTTTTGGAAAATTAAATAAAGAAAGATAAGTATATAAAGACCAAGTTAAACCTAAAGGATGTCTTATATGTATTTAATCCAGGATTTACCGGTAGTGGTTTCTAGTGGTTTCAGGTAAAATCTGTATTCTTACTCAATAATTCTCTCATTTACTCCAAGTGGTCTTCTTTGAGATGAAAATAAAAAAAATAATTGTAATGGTGAAATTTGTATTTGTTTATAGCTAGATTAACATGTTGAAGTATGACCTGGATGTATGTAAATGAACTATCTTCTAGGTCATGTCATATACTTAGTGCACAAAACCTATCCATTACTAAATGTCATGTTTAAGCAGTCCTAGGAATTTCCCTGTTGACCTGTGGGTCACCAATTTTCTTACATGGACTGTGATTGGTTAATTTTTACTTCAGTAAAAATATTTAATTGTGAGAAGATATGGCAGGTGTTATATTTTTACTTCAGTAATAATATTTTTACAGGAGTAAAATTTATAAATTGTGAGTTAAATGGCTACATTGCATTTTGGAATATATTATTTTTACTGGGGTAAAAATAATTTTACTGGAGTAAAAATATTTTTACTGGAGTAAAAATATTTTTACTTAAGTAAAAATATTTTTACTGGAGTAAAAAATATTTAATTGTGAGTAGCAATGGCCAGTGTTTTATTTTTACTGCAGTAAAATAATTTTAGTGGAGTAAAAATAAATAATTGTGAGTAGAACGGCCAACCATAAACGCCTAGAGTGCACTGACGGTAACATGTGCAAAAGAAATCACAACAATGAGTACATAAAACACTTCGCAGTATACAACCAACCAGAATTAAAAGCTGATGTCATTAATGGTTTCTCTGGGGAGGATAAAAGTTATTCGTCATAAAGTGATTGTTGTCAACTTAAATAACGAGATTTTAACTTAGAGTCAGGGGTATTGTTGGATGATTTTTTTTCCCATTGTAATCGGTGCACAATTTAGTAGCTCATCCGATAATATTATGAATAATGTACTTCGATCAATGGACGACACCTTACTGTGTCCGAGTAACATCAATAGTAATTCGGTTGTATATCTTGTGCCAAATGAATCACCCAGCAGTAAATTTTCAGGGAATCACCATTCTATTCCGATTTTGTGAATAGTTATATCAGATCAGCATCAAATAATAAAATATGAAATCGATATACTAGTACATCGATCTGCTTTTTTTTCTTCGCTCGATTACAATATCTGAAGTTATTGGAGCTGAAAAGTTATTATAATAGCAGAGTGAAAGAAAAACAAGAGGCCCAGGGGCCACATCGCTCACCTGAGCAATTTGCTAGGAAAAAACACATATCAGATCAGAACTGAAAGTTTACTGAGTTGGGGGGGGGAGGGGGGGGCTTGAATTTTAACCTCCAAGGGGATCATGGTTTGAACAATTTAGAATCTACAGTACCTGAGAATGATTCCATATAACTATCACTAAGCATGGATTTGAAGTACTTGAAAAGAGGATTTTAAAAGGTTTTGCTATATATGCCTATGTTAAACTTTGATCGGCCATTTTGGCCCCACCTTACCCCCGGGGGTCATGATTTGGACAAACTTGAATCTACACTACCTGAGGTAAATTTCACATGAATTTAATCTTTCCCGTCTCAATGGTTCTTGAGAAGATTTTAAAGATTTTTCCTATATATTCCTATGTAAAACTTTGATCAGCCATTTTGGCCCCACCCTACCCCCAGGGGTTATGATTTGAACAAACTTGAATCTACACTACCTGAGGATGCTTCAACATGTTTCAGCTTTTCTACCTCGGTGGTTCTTGAGAAGAAGATTTTTAAAGATTTTTCCTATATATTCCTATGTAAAACTTTGATCGGCCATTTTGGCCCCACCCTAGCCCCGGGGGTCATGATTTAAACAAACTTGAATCTACATTACCTGAGGATGATTCCACATGAGTTTCATCTTTCCTCGCCCAGTGGTTCCTGAAAAGAAGATTTTTTAAAAATGCCATTAATTTTTCTCTAATTCATAATTATCTCCCCTTGCAAAAGGACGTGGCCCTTCATTTGAACAAACTTGAATCCCCTTTACCCCAGGACACTTTGTAGCAAGTTTGGTTGAAATTGGCCCTGTGGTTCTTGAGAAGAAGATGAAAATGTGAAAAGTTTACAACGACGACAACGACAACGACATGGACGACAACAACGACAACAACGACGACAGACAACGGACAAATTTTGATCAGAAAAGCTCACTTGAGCCTTTGGCTCAGGTGAGCTAAAAAGCTGTTCTGTTCTGACTTTTGTCCGCTGTATATAAATTTGGTCTCGCCGTTTTTTGATAAAACTATAACAATGTTTTTGATGTCATCCGACACATAAATTTCCCCGCCTATGTTTTCGCATATGTATCTTGGGCAAAGAAATAACATACCACCTTTAGCATGTTTCTCAATTTCTCCCAATTTTTCACCGGATTTGTTAAATCTTTTTGTTTTATCGTATGTGTTAAATGTTTGTTATATTTTTCATTATGTTTTCTTGTGAAATACTATAGCAACATTTTAGTCAATATATTACAGTGAAAATTTTGAGACAATTTTAACTTCAAATCTGTGTTCAGGTCCCTTGAATTGTTTTTTTAAGATGTAGTTTCATAACTTCAACGGTGTTTAAAAGAGCATTGGGACGTTTGTTTACTGCTTGTAAATATTATTTATACACAAAGTATATATTTGAAAATGTAACCGCAATTTTTGACTTTTCGCTTATGACGTTGTATTTTCCCAGCGTTCTCGAGGACAGAAAAGCCATGATTAGTCATATGAATATGGTGGTAGCGTCCTAAGATAGTTTAGATTAAGTTTTGTTCAAAATATACTTTTAACACATGGGCTATGGTGAAAATACATCAGGCAACCAAAGTGCAACGTATAAATAAGAGGCCCACGGGCCACATCGTTCACCTTACATGCTTTAACCATTCCATTCTTTACCACATTTCTCCCTTGTAATACATATTGTGACCCCACCCTACCCCACTGATCAAAATTTAGACAATTTGAAATCTACACTACCATAGGATGCTTTTTGATTCCCCATTGTAAAGCTTTAATTCCCCATTGTGTCCCAGCCATACCTCGGGGCTCATGATTAAAACAATTTAGAATCTACTACCCCAGGATGCTTCCACAAAAGTTTCAGCTTTTCAGGCCAAGTGGTTCTTGAGTAGATTTTCAAAGATTTTTCCTATATATTTCTATGTGAAATTTTCATTCCCTATTGTGGCCCCGCCCAACCCCTGGGGATCATGATTTGAAGAATTTAAATTTTACACTACCCCAGGATGCTTCCACATAAGTTTCAGATTTTCTGGCCCAGTGCTTCTTGAGAAGAAGATTTTAAAAGTTTTTTCCTATATATTTCTATGTAAAACTTTGATTCCCCATTGTGGCCCTGCTTCACCCCCTGGGTTCATGATTTTAACAATTTAGAATCTACACTACCCCAAGATGCTTCCATGTAAGTTTCAGCTTTTCTGGCCCAGTGGTTCTTGAGAAGATTTTCAAAGATTTTTCCTATAAATTTCTATGTATAACTTTGATTTCCTTTTGTTTCCCCGAACTTCCCCCGGGGGTCAGGATTTTAACAATTTAAAATTTACACTATCCTAGGATGCTTCCACATAAGTTTCAGCTTTTCTGGCCCAGTGGTTCTTGAAAAGATGTTTAATGACCCCACCCTATTTTTGTCTTTTCTTAATTATCTCCCCTTGTGAGGGGCTCAGTGATCCTTGAGAAGAACTCGAAAATGTGAAAAGTTTACAGACGGACAGACAGACAGAAAGCTAGACAGACAGCTAGACGCACGGACGGACGGACGGCGGACAAAATGTGATCAGAAAAGCTCACTTGAGCTTTCGACTCAGATAACGATCAAGGAAACTATTCTTTTACACAATAGCTTATTTAAAGATAAAAGTACTATGAAAATTTAGAAGGTAGCTAAATCATCTTCTTGACAAAATAAAACAGGAATATTTTATACCAATTCATGTTATATAATTTCCTTACATTTTTGAAGTCCTGGCCATATGCAATGAGAGAACAGGAATGTAAAATCAATTATACGTCATATTATTTTCGAATTTAATAGTCTAAGTAAAAGCAAAGAAAACAATGTCAAGCTTGTTTATAGGACAAATTTAAAAGAGAGGACATTATCATGAGAAAAAAACTTTGTATTATCCACACTAAAAAGAAAAGTTTTAGGCTAGTGGTGGGAAAGTGTATGGAATTTAGTTCCACTTGCTTAAGGAAGATTCTCGATAAATATTTTTAATCAAAACTTTAAAAGCAGTTTTCTTTATTGTGGGTTGGTGGGAGGTACCCCAACAAATCCACACTCATCCAAAATTATATACTCCTTAATGTTATGTTCATCTAAATAAGTAAGTACCGAAAGAGCTATCGTAAACTGTAAGTAACAAATTGAAATTTACCAAAAATTTTTTTTTATCAATGTAGGGAAATTGGCTGAGTGGTTATTGAGAAGAAGGTGAAAATGTGAAAAGTTTACGACGACAACGACTAGAACAACGACGACGACAGACAACGGACAAATTTTGATCAGAAAAGCTCACTTGAGCCTTCGGCTCGGGTGAGCTAAAACTCCTCACTATAACTTTGAAACAATAATTATAACATTATATTCCTTTTTTATTTATCAATCCCTCTATATTTAAGTCTTTGGCAAGAGCTTGTTAGGTAATACATATTAAAATAATTTTTTCAACCTTGCAACTTGATATGAATAGAATACAATACATTTTTTCAGTATCTTTCAACTTTTAAGAATTGTTTCTGTATAAATATGTTTCCTTAAAGGTTTATCTTACTGTGAATAAGTTCCCTGCTTCCACTGTCTTGTCTCATATCCTTCAATGACTTGAAAAGAGAGTCAACGTCTCATTCTATATAAAATTTATTACATGTGTGGAAAACATTCAAGAAGTAATTATGCAGATAAAACTAGAAACAATTATTTAATAGATAATATTAATAATACATAGCGAATTTTAAAATAATTATTTTTAATAATACAAATCAATGGTCTTATTTCACATAAATTAAGCAAAATGAAACAAATAATTGAATTTAAGCAACAATGACAAGGAAAAAAAGCTAATGTTATATTGGTTATTTTTGTGAGAAAAAATTATTGTACTTATCAGCCTTGAAAAAAAAATAATTTTTAGAAAATTAATAATTTAATAAATTTAATGTAAATTGTAAAAAAAAAAAAAAATGTTTAATCGAATTTAGTTTCTTTGACGGTCACATGATAAAGCTAATATATAATGTGTACAGCGTTTAGGCAATAAACAGCTTTTCATACCAAAAGAGTGTATCCAAGATCAAATTCAAAAAATAGTTGATAAATTGTTTCTCCATAACTTGTATATTCTTGAAATTTAATTAAAAGTTTATAAATTCGGAATGAAATATGTGCGAAGGTATTTCATAACTTCATTAGCTAATACCTTCAATTTCTGGAAAGTATCTTCTTTATTTATAATTTATTAAAATAAATAATAAGTAGAATTATAATTTATATAAGAAAATAATAAAAATAGCAATTAAACCATATATAGTATCTACTTTTGCGAATTTTTTTTCTTAAAAATGCACCTCAATGTTAAACTTGAGAATCCTGTACGTCAGAACTAGGGAATTTTTCTTTGATCTTATAATTACACGAATAAAATATGTTTAAATGCATTTTCACTGTAAAAATTACCCGCCTTAACTGTATCCTAATTACATTTTTTTCTTATGACGTCGTGTTTACAAGTTCATTGCAATCGGTAACTTCTGCATACCTTTGTGTGTAGTGTAGGATTTAATATTTAAAATAATCAATATGCGATATTCCTGGACATTCTTGAAAAGGACGTTAAAGAACAAAGTAATTAAATATTAATTTTACCTCCTTCCAAATGATTTCTTCAACTATGACTTTTCTCTGAAATCCGCATTTAGGACAATTTATTCTCTCTCCAGTCATCTTAGATTCTGCTATAAAATGCGATATTGGGACATTTTCCTTTCCAAAAACGTTCTTTTGACACATATAGCCTACTTCATATGTGCAATTTTTCAACCTTTCTGCTGACATGTCAATAACTTTGGTAATTTTTCCACGCACGCCCAAGTTATCAACCATTTTTGACTGAGAAATGTCAAGGTACTGTACCACAATTTTGTTGATACTGTACATGCCAACCAACACCTTACTTCCATTTACGTCAAAAAGGGTTGCCATCTGGTATATGCAAAGATATTCCATTTTGAAAATTGTCCATTTCAGCTGATTACAGCAAGCAGCAATAACGCGATGAAACATATCTTTTGGAAGATAACTGAACTGGAAGCACAAAGGAGATGAGTTTTCTAAGTGCTCAAACTCTTTTGTTGGAAATATTTGCTTGTTCATACAAGGACAATACCATGTATCCTTTGATACAACCGTCAAGAGGTTTAGCCTCACCATGTAAGAAAGTATTTCTCTTTTCTTTGAAATGTACAAAGCACCTTCTGGACAGCGTTTCCATATCGAATGCAAAAGGTAACTAGTTAACAGACCCGTTTCACTGAATGATTTCCATTCTTCATACAATTTTTGGTCGACATCCAATTTTGCATGTTCCGCATCCGTGATTACATGTTTAAAAGCATCAACGAACCACTGGACATCTAGAATAATAACCTGTTTAAGGAATTCTTCGTCAAAATATAAAACAACCCCAATGTTACTGAGAAATCTAAGTGGTGTTTTGAGATCATTTTGACTCTGTATTCCAATATCATTTGTCATACAGTTTTCCAAGAGTCCTTCCAAAGTTATTATTTTCAACTTTTTTAGTTTTCTTATCTGGCATTCAATGTAGAACCAAGACATTGGAATATTTTTTCCCCAATTTGGAAGCGTCTGGACTACGTTCAATATGCAGTTCTTGATTTCCTGAAGATTGTCACCAAAAGCAGTACTGAACGCTTTTCCATAATCAACATGGGCACTTAACTTCGGTAATTTGTCACGAAGATCTCGAAAGTAGGCTTCGCCTTCCTACAAAGTGGATAAATCTCATTAGATTCAATATACTGAAATCATTTACCATTAATTTAAAGGGTGATGATGTTTTCAAATATAATTCTACTCAAGATATCAATAATCGTGTTATTATTTTACGAGATGTGCCATTCGCTGAATAAAATTACTCATCTTTGTATATTGTCAAAAAACATGGCTTTAAAATATCTAAATCAACAGTCCTTTTGTGAAGTTATGTTCTCGGGATTTAATATACAGTATGGGATTCACTTTTAAATAAAGTTCTCGAGTAAAATAGCTCGTAATTCCTAAAATCCGAAATCTCTAAAAGTGATCTGCTTTATTTGGAACTATTATGTTACTTTTTTTTCTCATTGTAACGATGATGTACAGATTTTACGAACAACGATCAAGCTCCAACAATACGAAAAAGAAACAGAATAAACAATTGCAAGGACCTCTAAAATGAAAAGACAAGGGAACAGGCGCCCTGGAGGATTAAGTTTTCCCTGTCGGCCGATTACATTCACCATGTGCCATGTCATGATCGGAAAATAGAAAAATCAGTTCAAAATTCAGTGCGAAATTGAATACCTATTTAGAATGATTACTTCAGCATTATAATTATTTTAAAAAAATACGCTGTATTTTATAAATAAATGAGAAAGAGACCGGTTTTAAAATTTATTTCACCTTTCTAGATATTCCTTCCGCGTGAGTTGCCACGAGAATCAGAGGCGCTCTATCCATACCATCACTGTCCTCCATCTTTTCATTCGGTGTCAGTCCAACGGTATGAGACAGAATAGATTGTAGCCAATATTCTGTAAACTCTAAAAAAAATATATGAAAATCTAAATTACATATTTTTGGGAGATCATTTCCATCATGAATTCTGTTTTTAGAAAAATGATTCAAGGGTTGAGGGACGTTCGCGGATCTCAAGAATTTGTAAGATATTTAGGAAAACAGGAAACATTTTTCAAAACTTCATCTGGCATTCAAAATTGGAATTTTGGGAATGGTGCCGGTGGTAAAATTATACTATCTATGCCCGACGAACCCTACCATTACAATCTTATGTTAATGCTAGTTTACTTCAGTATTTTCTGGTAGGTTATGTAAAAGGATTTCAGCAATTAAAAAAATGCCATAATCTTAGAAACGGATATCTATAGAGTATATTTCGAAGTGCTTAAATACAGAAAAGGTAAACGATAAATGTAATAATAATAATAGATGACTCATTTAGATAAGGTACTAGTAATCAAAACCAAAGTTCATCAAAAGAAGTGAAAATACCTAAAGCATAAGATCGACCGATGTTTCTTTTAAATTTGCGAAAGAATGCCAAAAAGATGACGAGCATCTGACATATAACGTAATACCAAATTTCCTCCAACTTAACGTTGATCTTGGTTTATAATAACACGCAAATCGTGATAAGTTTGTGGAAAGCTAGAGAATTAAATCAAACACCCCCTTCTTCACAAAGACGGGATACATACAAATTTTCATTTAAACATCTCTAAAAGAATGAAAATTGGAAAAGAAAGCTTTTGTTTGATAAATGCATTTTCTTAATATAATATTTTTTAACGATAACTTGTTTCATATTATTGCGTTTAACAATTACTATGTATTACATCAATTTTTTGTTCGTATAACATTCCTAAGAACTTGACAAACATTTATAGTATTTAACTATTTATAAGAAATACTCGTTGTTTCATTGTTTCTTGAATAACCTCCATTCAAAAAATATGTCTTTAACAAATATGATAGTAAAAGTCATTTTACCTAAGTATGTCCAACCACTATACACTGATCTTTCCATTTTATTCAATTCTTCTTCAGTTTTGTCATCTTGGTTGAGTGTTTCTTTAGCTCTGTCCTTGTACACCATGTGGTCAAATTTTTTTTTTGATATCCATAACTAAGATATAAAAATCATTCGGGGAAAAGTATATGTGATGACAGGCATAATATGCAAATTGACCAGCAAAGTCAAAAAATGTTATTATTTTTTTATCCTTGTCTGTAAAACACTCAGACAATATCTGAAATGTAATGTCAGTATCAGGGGAGATATTTGCATCATCAGTCGAGAGGGGACCAAATTCGATCGTTTCAACATCCTCGTCGTTTTCTTTACTTGGTTCAGTAGTGGTTGACCCTTTATTTCCCAAAACTGGTCCGTCTGGAATTGCATTTTCATTGAATACTTCGTTTAGTCTGGTTTTGCTATATTCAGAAACTTCTGAAACCTGTTCATTATTTTCTTGTATGTTTAAAGGGGTTTCATTGAAAGACGCAGAATTCTCAACTCTTTTTTCTACAAAAGAGCCCCCAAATCTTGTTTTTGTTAAGGGTTGATCTCCATGGTCTTGTTCTGCTTGATTTGTATTTGGATCTTCTTCAGTGTTTAAGTTGGATAGAAGACTTGGTTTATTTTGGTTGGCTGTGACTGAAATTAAAGATTAAATAAGTATGTTGAAACAAATCAATATTACAGAAAACAGTTTACAAAATCAAAAACACTTTTATAGGAAGAAATTATTTTACTCATTGGTTTAGCTATTGCTGTTTTTCACGATTTGAAGTAATTGTAGTGAAAAAAACGCCTCCCTCAAGTCTTGAAGCTAAGGATTAAATAAAAATAGTATTTCGCTATTCTAGACTGAACAATGTCCAGACCATGTGCAACTGACCATCAAGTCTATCCTCGTTTACTGTGAAAATATTGACGTGGGTATCTAATCCTCTTGTTGACGGGGGATCTGGATTATCTTTTCCTTGCAGCCGTTGGAGAAGACTTGTCTTTCCTGCCCCCTCACAACCCACTAACATACATCTGGCAACAAAGACTTTATGTTCACCACTTCTGAGATCACGAAGATAATTTTGTATACCTTCTTTTCCTAAACTCAGAATGCCTTTTGGAATGTTCACTGTCAGTGAATTAAAAAAAAAACACATATAAAATCAATCATTTAATGGAATTTTCTACTGGTTCACATTTATCTTCAATCTTTAAAAGAACAATTAACATATTTTTTGAATAAAGCTTGTTTTGACTTATCAGACAAAAAAGAACATTGATAATTGTGTTACATATTAAATATAAATTTTAAAGAACTTACATTCATCTTCAATAATTTGATGACAAGTTTCGTCTGTGATAGAATTGTTAGAGAGAATGTCGAACTTTAGTTGTTGCACAAGATTTTTAAATTGCTCAGGGCTGAGATTGCAGCATATTTCACCTTCATCCTTTCTGTATCCAGGAGATCGACAAAAGATGCCAAGGTTAGGGGGTGTAGAATACTTCACGAAAAAATCTAGGAACCCGCTTCTTTGCAAGAAAGATTGGAAAATACGGTCTGGGGAGATCAAGCAATACTCTTCATCTTTAAATTCAATGTATTCATGTAATGTTTCATATTCTATTGCGTCAAGTGCGTTTTCTGTGGTTTCTTTTTTCACCACAGAACAAAATTCCTTAGATTGATTTAACTTTTCTTTCCACTGGTCTGGTTCAAATTTAAGAAATCGAAATTCATCTAGAAGTAAACAACAAAGCAAGATACCCTGGCATTCTTTCGAGCTGCACTGTATGTCATCTACAAATAATTAAATTTTAAGACAAAAGTCAAGCATATGCATATAATAATTTTTGCATTAATATTGAACTAAATTTTAATGAAAATAAACTAATGGAAAAAAATTAAACCATTTCATGAATTTCAATCTTTTCAATATATTGTTTAATGTGATTTTTAAAAAGGATGCTGAACGTAAGTGGTTCTCATACGAAATGAAGGACAAACTATAAAGTGAATGTACAAAATTTATAAATGAAGAAAACAAAAAGTGGCATATATATATATATATATATATATATATATATATATATATATATATATATATATATATATATATATATATATATATATATATATATATATATATAAAAACTTCTATTACCTAAAATGAAGGAAATGGTCGCTTCGCCGAAAATGTTTGTAACAGTGCATTCATATTTATCAGAATTGCCACCAACAACGTTGCAAATTTTTAGAAAGGTATCTTCAAGAGTTCCACCAACATATGTATCTGGTTCGTCCGATGGTTTCAAACTACAACCATTCTTTCTCCAAGACAGGGTTGTCAATGGAATACAGTCCTTAGATACAGAAACTGTATATTCTATGACAACGTCCGGTCCTTCTGTTGAAATTCCTCCAAGAGATATTGTAGGGCAATCTATATAATTGGTAAATAGGACAATTTCAAAGTTGTAACGTGAACACTTTACATGGTCAAAGATTTTTTAGTTCATTGGTTATGTGGGTTCATTTTCATTAAAGTAATTAATAATTATATAATAATTATTATAACTGAATTAATACTTCGTTGCATTTGTGCATCCAATTTTTTCAAACATAAATATTAACAAAAGGTTCGTGGGCAAAGGCCCGAAACAAGAAATAAGAATAGGTTAATGACATAAACAATAACAATATATCTAGTAATCATTGCAATGTTGCAAAAATTTAACTGGTATTGCGGTTAATATATACATATATATTCTGCGTAAGCATGTCATGCGATATTTTTTCTGCAATGGTTGGATTTTCGAATTACCAAATAATAACAGACATTCTTAAATCATAACAAAATGATTTGCATGCACAAACATAGTTTTGTACTAAATACTAGTATAGCTTAATGTTTTGCGAGTTGCAGTTTATTAAAAACAACAAGGGGCAGCGTTGGTCACCCCATGCTGTTAATAAAAAATTGCAGAAGAATATGCGGGAAAATCAAAAGAAAGAATTCGGAATTGAAGTCTTTGGTTGCTGTAGATCAATTTAAGATATCAATCTACAACAGTTACACAGAATGAAAGTTTTATAAATGCAAACAATGTACGCAAATAAAATTTCATCAAGATAATATGTTTCAACACAACACTATCAGGAATCTGGATACCGTTCATTATTAAAAAATGAAAAAATAACTATTGCAGAAAAAAATACAAGCTACAAGCAAAATATACAAGCATTTCATGTCTTTTTCTTCATCTGCAATGGTTGAAATTTGGTATTTAAATGATTAAAGGTCCTCAATTTTTACTTTTTGTCTGCATATGTAACCTTACAAAGTAGGATGGTGTATTATTGAGCTGTGTGTCATGACTGTTTTATTGATGTAATAGCTCATTATCAAAGAGATGGCGTTAAAAAACTTGTTTTACTGTTATGAAAAGAAATGGCTCTCATATGAAATAAAGGAAAATACATTGCATTTTAATATTTAAGAATTAACGAATGGAAATAAAAAGAGATTACCTAAAATGAAGATAATTGAGGCCTCGCCGAAAATATTTGTAACGGTGCATTCATATTTATCAGAATTGCCACCAACAACGTTGCAAATTTTTAGAAAGGTATCTTCAAGAGTTCCACCAACATATGTATCTGGTTCGTCCGATGGTTTCAAACTACAACCATTCTTTCTCCAAGACAGGGTTGTCAATGGAATACAGTCCTTAGATACAGAAATTGAATATTGTATGACAACGTCCGGTCCTTCAGATGAAATTCCTCCAAGAGATATTGAAGGACAATCTGTAATATTGGAAAACAGGACAGTTACAAAGTACATGTAGTTAAATATACGTGATTAATCTTTTAGTTAAGTAGTTTCGTGTTGTTGTTTTTTCCATCAAAATAATGAAATAGAGTATATTTTCATTGCATACGTACGCGGTGGTTATAATTATAATTTTGTACAAACACAAGAGGTCCATGAAAAAAAGAACTCCATGAGCCAGAGAGCTAATCTCAGTAATTAATGGTCATATTTTTCATATTTTTTTTCCTACATATTTTATGTTTAAATTAAATCAATAAATGTAACCCCATCCTGGGGATATGATTCAACCAAACTTGAATCTGCAATACTTGTGTAGGTTTATGTAGTTTCAATATAAAGGTGGATGACTGCATGAAGGCAGTGGTTAGAGAGTTGTCTGCTTTAGAGCCGCAAAAAAAGGAGGCAATCCTCAAGTAACGGGTTTGAATCACACATTAAGACAAGAAGACCAGTCTTTCGAATGAGACCGAGGTCCAACGTCGCAGTGCTGCCACAAAAGAGATTTCTCACTGCTTAATGGCCCTGCATGCCGAGTACAGGACGAACTTTGTTGCAGCAAGTGACGGTGTCTTCATATGAGTGAAAAATTCTCGAGAGGGACGTTAAGCAACATACATTCAACCAATCAATCAATCAATATAAAGATGAATAGTATAGTTATACTATTCTAGAATAACAGTTTGTACCTAAATATGTAAACAGGGAAATTTTCACCCCTGTTTTATTTCGCCTCTTTCGCCCTACCTTCAATTGGACGAATTCAAAGAATGCAGTATATTTTTGAAAAGGGACTAAGACTGTAAGAACTTAAAAGGGGACAAAATTGTTTTCAAATTGTTCACTCTCTAACTCTAATTAAACCTGTGGACTCTCAAAGATAATGTGTTTGTGAAACAATATGCGCCCAGCAGCAAGAAACGATAACACTTTTTAACATATGCGTCATAGTCAGGATCACAAGGTCATTGACCATGGTGTCATTTGAAAGAACTTAATTATTGGAGTATGCAAACTAATAAATATGAAGTCTCTATTTTTTATGGTTCAAAAGTTATGATGAAGGTTCATATAGGTTATTTTATCATAAAGGTCAGTCAAGGTCACACGGTCATTGACCTTGGTGTCAATTGAAAAACATCTCAATTAGTGGCGTATGCATTTAAAATATACATGTCAAATCTCTGTCTCTTATGGTTCAAAAGTTATGAAGAAGGTTTGAAAAAGCTATTTTTAGCATATATGTATAGTTTACAGTCAAGGGCACAAGGTCATTGACTTGGTGTCATTCGAAAGGGCTTAATTTGTGAAGTATATGTACTAAATACGAAGTCTCTATCTTTCATGATTTAAAAGTTATGGCGAAGCTTAAAGTTTCAGACAGACAGATAAATAGACAGAGACAGGACAAAAACAATAGACTCTTCCGATCTATTGATCCAGACGCAAATAAATTACCTAGACTGCATTTAACAAACTTTTTGCAGTGGTTGTCATATTTGAGACAGCAGACGTACTCCCCAATATCTAAATGACTTGCACTTTCAATGACGAGGTCAAGTTTTTGATCTGCAAATCTGTATTTTCCTCCTGTGTCCTCTATTTTTATTTCATTTTTATCTTTAGACCAAATAATATTTGAGGGAAGTCTTCTCTTGTCCTTGGGAAGTATACACCTCAACACAACGTTTTCTCCAGCTATTTCTATCTTAAGAGTTGGGGCAGTGTCTGAAAAAAGATAATCACAATACATTTTAGCCGAAAAGTCTGACGCATAAATTTTAATATATCAGAAATCTTAATACAACAGTATATCACGTGTAGAAACGGACTAGGGTAAAGTGCGTTACCCTAGTCAAAGACGGCGAGAGAAAATATGCTTCAATCATTTTGCACTTAGTTTCAGCGTTATACAGACTTATACTATACATTTTGTTGTTAAAATTGAAATATTCCATAAAGAAGAACCCAGCTTTTGCGAAAACGTGACATGATATGCGCTTATTAAAGCCAGATTGCGGGTACAAAATTTGAGCATGATAAGATAAATTTTTGACTAGGGTAAAGATATTCTGAGCTTATTTGGTGACTAGGGAAAAGTATATGTAAAATGTCATTTTCCTTGTTTTAGGGCCTCTGTGATTCTATTTCGAGGGATATTCACGCATTCTAGGCACCTGATCCGACCTCCGGAATTACTAGGGAATTTCCATGGGTCTGTATTTATCCACCATGTCCACTGATTTATATTGTTTGTAGATTTCACTGATAAATCACTTTTCGTTATCTTCACCTTTTTCATTGAGCAGACTCGACACACACATTGTAGGTCATTTCATAAATTATTGCACAAAGCACCATAAAATTCTCATTTTAAAATGAACCAAATGAAATGCTGAAGTACTACATTTTGAAGTTAGTATACGGTCCTATTTATATCTTGATCATAATATAACAAAATGAGCAGGAAAAACGACTCTCTTTTCATTTAGATGAGGCAAATAAAAATCAAATACGTAACTATATATCAATACAAGTATACAGAAAAAGGGTAGAGAAAGATTTTTTTTTCAATTTTTTGGCACTGACATGTGCATTATGACCAGAAGTGTGGAGTGTGTATAGTATTCATACACAGGATCTAAGATCGACAAACGATGCTGAAAATTTACTTTGCTTTATATTCAGAAGTAACTGGCAAAGCATTTCTTTGAGAGAGGAAAAAGTTAATACAGCTCTATATTCTGACTTCTGATTTTTAAAATTTCAGTATTTTTTTTTAACGATGTTTCTTTAAAACTTCTATTCAACATTTTTATAGAGATAGATGTACATAAAACGATTAATTTTGCTTCCATGATTTCTATGCAGGGTACCAACGTTGAACTTTAAAAGTTTTTGTGTACACCTAGCTACGGCCCTGAACAATGTAATAATTACATGCTCGAACGCTATATAATTGTAGAAGCAATAGATACTGTAAAATCATATATTTTCGAGGGATCAAATTTTCGTGGTTTTAGAAAGATATATAAGTTTATTTGGATTTTATTTCACGATTGAAGAATTGCTCAGTAGTGATATTTATATATGATATATTGAATTTCGTGGTGGATATAAATTCGTGGATCTCTTCGAACAATCAAGAAGCTAATAAAAAAGATTTCACAGTATTAAATATTCTCCAGAAAGCCTTTCTCAACTTTATTAATTGTATATTGCAGTTGTTCTGTGTACAGTTAGTCTGTAGAATTTTACCCTAGTCTCGACAAGACTTTACCCTAATCGAAATGAAACAGTCCAGAGACTTTACCCTTATCTGCTGGAAAACTTCTTGACGCATTTTCTAGTTAATTACACAGATATGAATATATTCTCCTTGTGAGCAAGAATAATTGATGCTTCAAGACAAAATGGTGCAAAACAAAGTAAGGTTGTTTCTTAGACTTCACCGTATTTATTCATGGAGATTTGAAGGGTATAAGATTGCCGCCATCTTGGACTAAAGTGACACACTTTACCCTAGTCTGTTTCTACACAGTGGTATATGTCACAAGACTTTTTTAAAAATAATATGTAAAGTTTAACAATCAAGTAATACATGAAATATATTCAGAAATGTATTATGTATAGTTAACATTTCAATGGTATTCAGGAAGATAATTTGTATCATGTCTGTATTTAAAAAATACATTTCTATATTAAAGGATATAAAAATTATATATTGAAAAAAAAACCCTGAAAGTTTTAGATGCAAAAACGCACATAAATTAACGAAAGATAATATTTCCATATTTTGTCTCGTACATATGTATATATTCAAATTACATTAAATTATATTTATTGAATAATACTATGTTTTAATCTTACTGAAAATAAATGGACTACTGTGAAATCACAAATATTCGTAGGGGGTTACTTTTCGTTGTTTTTGAGGTATGGATAGATCCAAGAATTCATGTATACCACGAAATGTAAAATGTTACATTAATAACTACTAGGCAATACTTCATCCACGACTTCAAATCCCACGAACAAAGAGTTTCCTCAGCCCACGAAAATTTGACAAAACAAAAATATGTGATTTTACATTATGCCTTCAGATGAAAATGACAATGAATAGAAACTTACCCAAAAGGCAAATTTCTTCATCCCCATGGTCCCTTTCAGAACATTTTGAAACTGTAAAATAATACATGTAAATTACCAAATAACCTTGGCTAAGGGAAAGATGGCACATGTACTTAAACGAAAAACCAGGGTGATTTATTTATAAAAGAGCTTAGTCAAAAAGAGCTTAGTCTGAGGGAAATTTATAAACAGCATTTATTTCTCATCAACTTGAATATTTTTAAAGCATGTTAATATATTGTAAATGAATACCTTTGGTATGTAAAAGCTATTGATAAAATAGTCACCTTCTTAATTATCAAGATATGATGTCAAAATGTATGAATTGAAATTGTCATGGAATATATTTACTCTACTAATTCTAAAGCTCATCCAAAACACGTTTGAGGTAGTAAAAATTGGTATAACAAAATCATCAAACGGTGATACATGGTGTGAGAACTTGCCCCATGATTCGTGTGTACCTCAGAAAAAATATAATTAATGTAACATGATTAATCAGGCTCTGTGATATCGTTTCAAATGTTTCAGTTTGTATTTTAGTTTGTATATTACAGATCCCTTTGTTCAAATTCCTGACAGTCTTAACACAAAAACCATTGAAAATACTTGCAACTACTTTATATAAATTGGTCAATATATTTTTACCTCTAAATTTCCGGGCAACTAATGTAGCAACAGCGATGATGATGAGGACGATGATTATAGAGATAATTATACCAATTACTACGTCCTCTGAAGAAGAGTTGGGATCTGATGATTGTGATGTTGTAGATGGTAAAGGTGTCACCTTACTACAATGGGATATTAAACGGTGAATTATTTACTTGAAATATACTGAATGCAGTCCAATGTATAAAAATTTTTGATAAATCTCAAACTTTTATTAAAAGATTTTGTATTTCAAGTACGTATTTTCTTTGCTTATAAAAGAAAATATATGTACAAGTATAATGATTAACTTAGCTAATTGTTCTTTTTACCAGAACGAAAATGGAATTAAATGTGGTTAACTAATCATAAACATGTAAAATTCGATTAGTTTACAAGGCAGAAAAACCTTTCGACTTTCAAAAAATTTTTGAAAATTTTATCATTCCTCAGTTTGCTTAATATATGTCCACAGAATATTCTAATCAAATGATCAGATGAAATACTCATTCTTAAATAGATTAAATATGTTATATTTATGTCATCTTGTTTTTGTTTTGTTGTTGTTTTTTGTTTGTTTGTTTGTTAGTTTTTTTTTTGGGGGGGGGGGGGGGGGGGCAATACACCACAGCAAAAAAAAAAACAGTTTGTCAAAAATATTCTGATAAAATAATGTTTCTAATATTAAAATGACAAAGATTTTAATTTTCTTCTTTTTTTTTTCACTTTTGTCTCGAGCATTCCTCATCTGCAGTATAACATCCTTCCAGCTTGTTTAACTGCAAGCATTCTTGATCTGAAACAAAACGAATGGTTAAATTGGTTAAGTGCCTTAGATTTGTTTTACACTTTTATTAATCAATATGAATATTATCTATAGCATTATATGAAATAAGGTGTTTCTCAGAATTTTTTTTTTTGTTGATGTGCTTTATTACCAATGTAGGAGGAAAAAGTGTTTTTGCTAAAATACCTGGTATGCTGCAGCAGGTACATGCACTGCATATTCAGTTGATTTAATTCATGTACAAGTATATTTCACTTTATTGGGGGGTACTTAAAAATAAGTAGCTTAGCTCAAAAGAGAACAAAGATTTTTTTTCCTGTTTATTTCCACGCAAAACCTTTATCCTTATTTTGATTTTGTTCCAATACTATTCCCGAAGGATCATAATTTAAAGAAACTTTAACTATATCGTGTAATAATTGTGTCAAATAAGTTTCAATTTTGGCTTAATGACTCCTGATCTATGAACAACTTTTAACATTAAAATGGGTATGGATCTTCATTGAATCAAATTTGAATCATACGCTCGAGGGTCTTTAAAGACATGCATTTTTGGTTGAAAGTGGCCTAGAGGATTTTGAGAAAAATGATAGAATTTGAGAAAATAAGTCAACAGACTGACAGACAGACAGATGGAGAGACAGAGCACGCCAGACAAAATTGGATGGGAAAAGATAATTCTTTAAAGCTTCCAGCTCAGATTTACAATTTTAAAAAATGGATACTTACATTTATAAAGTTCATCACTTCTGTAAGTTTCGTTTGGACATCCATCAATAAATCCCGAGCAGTTGTATGTATGAACATAATTCGAATCCAATAAAATCCAACAGTATCCTCAAAATATAATCAATAAAAATTAGTATAAAATTCCCTCCCCCTTCAATACGCAACTCTAGAGAAAACACTCAAACCCCAAACACATATATATCGAACTATATTAAAAATACCAGTAATGGGAGTAAACTTCCATGTATCATCATTTTTTTTTCTTTTATAATTCTAAAACTAGCTTGGTTTTAGTCAGGAGTGTAACAATACATTAAAATAAATTGCTGATGATTAAATACAAGAAATTGTTGATTAGGTTATTATACCCCCCGCAAACGAAGTTTAGGGGGGGGGTATATTGGAATCACCATGTCCGTCTGTCCGTCTGTCTGTCTGTCTGTCTGTCTGTCTGTCTGTAGACGAGATTTTGTCCGGACCATTACTCAGAAACTAGTCGAAGGATTTTTCTGAAAATTTGTACAAATATTATTCACCATATGAAGTTGTGCACCTGATATTTTCATCTTGATTGGATTATTATTTTGAATTTTACAGGTGTTTTTTCATTTTTATTTTGTGGTTTTGTCTGGACCGTTTCTCAGAAACTATTGCAAGGATTAATCTGAAATTTTGTACACTTATTATTCACCATATGAAGGTGTGCACCTGGAATTTTCAACTCTTTTTGTTAATTTTTTTGCATTTTACAGGTTTTATTTTTTATTTTAATTGACTTGTTCATTTTGGGTTCATGTATAAGGTTTGAGATATAGAATCTAGAATATCTGTTCAAAAATACTACAGCTTAAAACTACTCATAAAAACTTAAAAAAAGAAACATCATAAAGTGTTAAAAACAGTTTTTTTACATTGCACAGAAGATAATGTAAGTTCATTTGTCTCTTGGGAATAATGACTGGACATGCATCCAGTTAAAGATAAATTAATGAGTTTGGTGTTGGAAGTTGTTAAGGCATATCCTTTATCAAGTGTGTGTGTTATCAATCTCCAGGGAATAAGGCACAATAATTAAAGATCTCTCTTCTCTTATTCTCTTAATTGTAATTTATTGTCTGTCAAAGCACTTCATCACTGGATGACCAGCTCTTTATTTTCAAAATGCATTTCAAATTGATATATCAAGATTAATTTGATTTTGTATAATGTTTTTTTTTTCAACAATCAGTTTGCAGAGTGACATAACACATAATTGCAATATATTTTTTAATGCAGTAATAAAAAAAAATAAAATGAAAAAATTTAAACAAAATGTTACAATGGAATTACAATGTATTAGTTTTGATGTTTCATTTGGTTGCACCTTTGTTTCATTCATTAAGAAACATGATGAGCAATTGTATTTCACTTCAAATTTTTGTAAGTAAATTGTGAACACCTCTAGATCCATAAATTATTTTTGAATTGGCACCTTCTCTGAAAAACCCAGCGGGGGGTATTTGTCCCTATTGGACAGTTCTAGTTGTGATTGTCCTGTGAAGGAAAATATCCCATAAAATATTCTTTAATACTAAAGTCAACTACCTATTATATGCTTTAAATAAAAATACTATAATTGAAGAAATAAAGCTAGGTTTTAAAACTTTCGATATGAGGTATTGCATTTAAAATACATGTATTGCACAAGTTTTAAACTGCTTGATGCTGATTGCACTCTAAATTTTCGTCTTAATAAATGTTTAATTTACTACAGCCAATTTTTTTTTGGTCATTAACTTTGAATTTAACCGAATAGTAAATGGGCCAGAGTAGATTTTTTCAAGAAAATAAGAATATAATGTAACTGTGCATGAAATCAAATGTGTCTCTAAGAAAGGCGTTTCATTTAAAGGATACATGAGATTTGCTGGAAATAGTTTTCTTGCACGTGTCTCATTTCAAAGGATTGATTGTATGTTGTTTTATCTCCCATACGAGAACTCTTCACTCTTCACCACAGACGTTCCCATATACCAGTGAAAAGCTAAAAATTTCGACCCCTCCTTAATTGGCACTCAGGGACAGTGAACAATGAGGGATTTTTATCATTCCAACACCTATTGTGACATGGGGCATCGGTTTTTAGGTCTCATCCGAAGGACCCGCAACTTTTACTTTAAAGTGCCAAACGCATGGCGAAGGAAGAGTTGCTACCCATTTCTATCGTCTGAGGTCAGTCACGGGCGAGATTTGAACTCAAAACCTCCCGATCATGGAGCAAGCTCTAATCCGATTGAGTCATTTCAAAAGAATATATTTGTTACCAAACTTAGTTTCCTTTAATAATGGTAATAGTCTAGAATTTTTTGTAAGACTTTACTCCATATGAAAACAAGATGTGTTAGTGAAACACCGATGCCCCCATATGGCAACATATCAAAGATTAAACTTTTCTTAACGACGTTCGATCCTGATATTCAAAGTCTTAAACTTTTTTGGCGGAGTATATTTTTAGTTTCTACATACATAGCTTAATTAAATCTTAAATCAAAAAATGGGGGTCAATATGCTCCTTTCAGCGCTACAGTACATTTAATATGACCTTTCTGCACTGAAATTTGTGTTTTAATTAAAAATTACATCCTTGACGTTTTCCCTCCAATAATTCCAATCTTTATTTTATTTATCGATTCCCTGTGTTCTGATTGGACGTAAACAAATTCAAGAAAAAGTTTACACATCGATGAATTCTTCAATCAGAACTACTTTCTTGACTGTTGTAAAAACAATGAAAACAGATACTTCTAGTCCGTTTTAGCTACAAGAAACTTGAAATAAAAAATGAATGAATGATCGAATGAATAAATGAAAAGGAAATAAACAGGACTGACAGACGGGAATATTATGTTTATGTCACTGTCGCATCACGAGTGTGAATTTTAAAAACTCGCTGATCATGCTGTCATTTTCTCGACGATCCATATCAGCTCAGTTGGTATCGTTGTGATAGGGAAAAGAAACGTACCTCAGACTCTTGCCTTTCTGGCATCAAATTCATATGTTTACATCCTACAGATCCCATATTCTCCCTAAATCTTTGAACGAACCAGAGCAAATCGAGGACGTCGTCGGTCTTCAACTTTCGTCATGACGTCAACATGGCCATGGTCAAGGACGAATTATTCTGGAGAATATGCGTATTTACGATATTTGTTGACTTAAACAACATTCAATGAATTTTTATAAGTTTAATTATTGATTGTTTTGACAATTTAAGTTGGATTTTATCGATATTCATCTTGTACACGTTTCTTTGTGGCATCGGTGGCATTAAAGTATTCCTACGCCGTACAAAATAACGGATTGTATGGCGGCCTCAAAAGGAAATAATTTTAATAATTTAAAAAAATTCGTAATTGGAATTATAAGAATTAAACGTTCTTTTTTCAGAATTTATCGATGTGTAAACTCTGCCTTTTTACTCACAAACTTTACATAAAAGTGCTTCGCACTTTTATTCAGTTTGTGAGCAAAAAGGCAGAGTTTACACATCGATAAATTCTGAAAAAAGAACGTTTAATCCTATAATATTTTTATTCAATTAAAGCATAAAACAAAATGAACTCTAAGTCTGTTTAAAAAAAAGACACTTAAAAATTGTGACTAAGAAAAAGTTTCAAATTGCCTCGCAAAATCAATTAATTGACCTTTCTGCACTGATAAAATTTTATTTTTCCGGCATTGAAAATATAATAAGCAAGAAAATTTTAAACTTTTTCTAATTTTAAGCAAATAGGTCAAAGTTATCTTGAATATTTAGAAAAGAACATCAAAAGTTGGGGTAAATGTTGTTCATTTTCAGATATTACTAAAAAGTGTGAATTTTACGTTAAATTTGGCTCAATTTTTTCCCAGATTTTCAGAATTTATTTACTATATTTGTCACACTTTGTTTATAGAATTCATAAGAAATAATTTAATAGATATTTCAGAACCAGCATAACATATTTCACTCCAAAAAAAAAAAAAACAGCTTTGTGTGCAACCAGCATGGAAAAATAGGCATCCAAAATTAACAGTACTGTTATACACCCCTACTAATGTTATTGTGATTTAAATTCAAGACACGTGGTTTAGATTTACCTATTCAAAGGTTATAGGGTAGATCCAGTTTTATAAATAAAATTGGCAGTAAACAGGAAATTGCTATAGTCTGTTTCTTCTGAAACATGTCCTGTGAAAAATGTGTGTTTGCACACCTTTCTGAAAGACTTTCATGATTTTCAACAGAAATAGATGGCTTAAGTGGGTTGGGGGTGGGGGGGGGGGGTGGGGGTGGTAAATAACAATTAATACATCTTATACTTAACTGCAAAAATTACAGCTCACTAGCGACCGAGATGCTTGTAAAAAATATATAATATAATTTACACTGACAAACCTTTGTTTGCCTTATATGGCTATTGCTATTAATGCGCACAGAGGATCTTACCACGAGCAACGCCAAATACATGTTTACATGTTACTTCGAACACGTGGTTCAGGTCAATCTATGATCATATCAATGGAGTGCAAAGTAAAAAAAATGTTCCTATGAAACATTAGAAACTATTAATAATATCACTGGCGTTTTTAATTTGTTAATAACTATAGAGAAAAATATGCTTAATAAAACGTATACGTAGTTCGTGTCAAGTTCAGAACACCAGCAATTCAAGGATAAGGAAAACGAGCAGCTTCTCCTATGCGTTTAAATGGACAAAACATTTTTTACATAACTATACATGTATACTCGTGATCACGTGTGTTGGCAAGGGAATCCACCTGGCAATTGTATTCACATAGTACAATAAAGGAATTTATCAAGCGTAAAATTCCTGTAGTATTCGTATAGTAACCCATAATGCAATTCTCATTCATCTGAATTGTCAGTTAAAGTCACATTGGTGCCCCATTTGCTAATCTGACGCCAAAAAATATAGTCCCGGTTCCCATGCAAAATATTTGTCTAAAAAGAAATTCTAATTCATGACAGCAGAAAATTGTATCATAGAAAAAACTTTAAAATAATTTAAACTTGAATGAATTCAAGAAAGATCGATTGAAGTACATTTCTACAGAATGATATTATAGGGTGGTGAAAACTAAAACACAACATGACTTTTCTGTTTACCATGTCTCCACGTGCTAGTCACTTCCTAGCCACATTTCCGTGAATAATTTACTCTATCTCGCTGAAGTCTCGCTAGCTCTCGCCAGAGCCAATGTCAGAGCTACTCTGAACTCATCGGGTTTTATAATATGCAGAACACCGACAAATAAAAAGTTCCAAACACATTAGTAGGGGTGTTATAGTTCAAATGGAAAAAAATTGATCATTTTCGTCTAAAAAACCTTCCGCCACAAAATAGAGTCCCTACCTTAATTCTACTTGAATGGAATTTAATCGCGGTTATTTCATTGAATATAGTTTAATTTGCATTGTAGAATTCAGTTTTAATGTTAGAACCTAAAAATGATGCTTATTTTCATGAATAAAGGACCTGCGCGAAATACGCTCAAAATATCAGGATCGAACGTCCTTAAATGCAAATTTAATTCATTGGTACCAAAATTAAGGTATTCTCAATGGAAAACAATCTTGAAATTTGAAAGTAAGCCAATTTTAAAGTTTTTTTTTCAATAAGTACAAAAATCGCGAAGGTCAAGATCAAAAGGTCAATGTAATTTGGTATCATGAAATGAAAAGTCTTGCAACATAGAATACTTATGTAGAGGATGAGAGCCCTAGCCCTAAAAGTTCAGAAGTTTTGGCAAAGGTTCAATTTTTTAAAAAGTAGGTCAAACTGCAAGGTCAAGTTCAAACGGTCAAAGTTTTTGTTATAAAATGAAAGGTCTTGTCACAAGGATTAAATATGTAATGTATGAAAGCACTAGCCCTAACCCTTTAAAAGTTATGGTCAAGGTTTACTTATTTAAAGTAGGTCAATCTAAAAGGTCAAGCTCAAAAGGTCAAAGTTTTTGTTATCCAATGAAGCGTCTTTTCACAAGGATTACACATATGAAGTATGAAAGCCCTATCCCTTACCGTGCAAAAGTTATGGCCAAGGTCAAAGTTTTTTCACAAGTACGGAAATCTACAAGGTGCAAAGTCAACGGGTCAAGGTTGTTAGTATCCAATGAAAGGTCTTTCAACAAAGATTACATATGTGAAGTATAAATGTCCTGGTATCTACTTTTCAAAAGATATTGCCAAAGTAAAAGTTTAAAATTTTTATGTAAAAGTGGGTCAAACTCCAACGTCAAGGTCAAAAGGTCAAATTTGGTGGTACCCAAAGAAAAGTCTTGTCACATGGAATACACATATTGAAGTATAAATGTCCTGGTATCTACTTTTCAAAAGATATTGCCAAAGTAAAAGTTTAAAATTTTCATGTAAAAGTGGGTCAAACTCTAACGTCAAGGTCAAAAGGTCAAATTTGGTGGTACCCAAAGAAAGGTCTTGTCACATGGAATACACATGTGATATATGAAAGTCATAGCTCCACTAAATCAAAAGTTATGGGCAAGGTTAAAGTTTTTGCGGACAAACAGAGAGACAGAGAGACGGACGGACACGACAAAAACTATATACCCCGAAACTTTGTTTACGGGAGCATAAAAATGAAGACAAAATACCTTTTAAAACAAAAGTAGGTGGTTCATCGTAACAGTATTCCAATAACGCCGTTTGATTTTCGTTCGAGGTACACTGGTATCTACCTTGTGTAGTGCAGTTTAAGTCACGTGATGCCTTCTCCCATGATGATCGGTTGATTGGACAGACATCAACTTCTTTTACATCAAGTATCTTACCTTCATTCTGTGCAATAAATTATAGTGTCGTGGCTAAATTAAAACATAACATAATTCGATTCAAAATTATTTTTCAAGTTCCTGTTTCTTTAGGAATACAGATGATGTCCGTTAACTACTTTACTCTTCAGATTTCACAACTATAAGTTGTTATAATTACATTCAATTAAAAGTCTACTCTACATGTGTTTTCAGTAAGCAAAAACGAAAGAATTTTTCTGGTTTCAGTTTGAGGATTTAAGTTGCTGGCAGTTTTTAAGTTGAAATGAGAACAAACAAAATTTGAATCAGTGAAATAATACATGTAAAGTATGCTTATTGATATGAAATATTGTATTTGTTGATGTGAAATAATTGTTAACTAAAGATTATTTTTGGAATTCTTTTTGGCTGAAAGGACGTCCTGAAGTATTCCTTATTATTATCATAACAAAAATTGCAGTAAATATAAAAATGAAACAGATTTTATGAGTTTGCACTATCCGGCTTAAAGAGATAATCTACATACATGTACATGCATTTGGTTGGAAGTAATTAAAGATGCTTACCAATAGAAATTAAACTTTTATCCCGGACGGTCCCACGAAATATATCATGCGAATGCAACTGTTCCTTTCTTGTTTATGAAGATGTATTTGATTCAAGGTAATTCTGAAATGCTGACCACTATAAGTTTAACTTTTCGCTCAGATAATTCCAAGGAATAAATCATTGGGAAGGTAGTTATTTATTTGTTGGTGAAATGATGGATTTGGTTAGGATTAATTAAAGACGCTAACTACTGGGAATTGAGCTTTGAACCTGGACGGTTAATCTGGTATAAAATGAGCGGACGACGGACATACGCCAGACAAGAGCTGGATTGTGTTTGTCTCTGTTTCATTTTATACAGGTAAGATTATTTTGTAGACTTGGGCGTTTTTGTAAAATTATTAAGTTTTAATATGGTTTAGTTTATCTACTTTAGTTTATTTACATTTTTGATAGTTTTTATTGTAACACAGTAATCTTTAACATAAGGTTTAGTATTGTGTGTAAAATTAGTTATTTTAATGTAATCGGATTTTTTATTTAATAAAAGACAAGAGCTGGATTGTGTCTGTCTCTGTTTCATTTTAAACAGGTTGAGAATTAGAGCCTGTGAGCCGCTCTTGTCAGAAAAGGTCCTCTGGTCAAAGGAACGGGATATTGAAGATAAAATAAAATACAGAAAAAACTGAATTGAGTCGGTCCCACCCAGCTCAAGGATCATTTGAGTTATTTAACTTGGCGTCTCCTCTCACAGAAATAACCAAGATCCCGGGTGTAGATGAACAAACTTATAATCGGCCCAACGTCATTCGGGACTCTGCCTCCTCAAACTTTGATGGTTGAGGTTTGGCAAAAAAGCTTCATATATGCCGGAGTCCAGGATGAGGTCAATCTGGTTATAATAAGTGGTGGAGAATCCGGTACTGGCGCAAAAGCGCGTCCGTAGAATATGATATCGCTAGAAACGCTATTCAGTTGCATCGTTACGTCATAAAACCGTTAAAAGAAGCAAGATTTACAACTGTGATAGAAAAAATATCGGCATGTATTACTAGGGTTTTTGGAAGAAATTTTTGCATTATTTAAATAAAAATATATAAAAAATTACGAAACATGATTTCAAGATTTTTTGTTCATCGAAATTTGTTTTAGAAGAGGTGTACAATTCCATATATAGACAATAAATGTATAGCACACAATTTACTGGAACTCTTTAACTCCAATTAAGGAAGCGCACAATGAAGATTTAACTATTGCGTAAGACCTTGTTCCATTTCGTTCCATTATTATACGTGTCCCTGAGTGATTCCTTCATATGTTCCCTCGGATTAGGTGGTAAATAAGATGTGCTTTTGAAATTCTGATGCCTCTGTATGAAATCATAGCGAAGATTAAAATTTTAAACGCAAATTGAATATTATGGTTCCCGAAATAATGTCTTAAGCTTCTCACAATTTTAGAAATATAATTGTAAAATATGAAAGCCCTAGTACCACCTGTTCCAAAGTTAATACCAATGATACTTTTTTTAAAGGTAGGTCACTCCAGGATCAAGGTCAAAGGGTAAAAAAAAAGCATTGAAGAAAAGTTTAATCTTCGCAATGTTTTCATACGGGGACATCAGTGTTTCATAAGCACATTTTGTGTTTATGCTCCCGTAATCGAAGAATCCGAGGTTATGGTAGTTTGTTTTTGTCGTGTCTGCCCTTCTATCTTTCAATATGCCTTTTTGTCCGCAAAAGCTTTAACCTTGCTTCACATATGTCATCCTTGTAAGAAGGCCTTGTATTTGCACATTGATACCAAGAACACTGACCTTTTGACCTTGAAGTTTGACTTTGTTTAAAAAACAAAACTTGATAATGACTTTTGAAAGGATAGGGCTTTCGTGCTTCACACATTAAATCCTTGTGACGAGACCTTTCATTTGATACAAAGAAATTTGACCTGTACCTTGGAGTTTTTATTTTATCTAATTTTTAAAAACTTTAATCTTGGCCATAACTTTTGAACTGTTATGGCTATGGCTTTCATACTTTACATTTTTAATCCTCTTGTCAAGCCCTTTCCTTAGAAACCAACAATTTGAACTTTAGACCTTGGAGTTTGACCTTCACTTCAAAAAAGTATCTTTGACAATAATTTTGGAACAAGTGGTGCTAGATCTTTCATATTTTACAATTGTATTTCTTGCGCAGAGATCCTTTTTTGGGTACCAATATCTTTTATTGCATTTAAGAAAAGTTAAATCTTCGCTTTATTGCAATACAGGGTTATCAAGGTTTCACAAACACATCTTGTTTTTTTTTCAGTAGATTTAAAAAAAAAAGTCAATCGTAAAGATCAAGTGCAATGGGTCAGAAATCATAGCATGCTTCGCAATATCTTGTGACAGGTACTGTAGTGCACATGTCAAATATGAAAGCCTTTCTCAATCAAAAGCCATAAGGAAAATTTAACATTTTGAAAAGTAAAAGAAACATCAAAGTCAGGGTCATTGGGTAAAACACATTATAGTGTATTTAGAAAGGTCACAAGTAATATATACAGCTTTAACTGAACACTGTATTTCTTCACAATAAAAGGTTATAACCAAGGTTAAAATTCTTGAAGAAACGGGTCTAACTTCAAAGGCAAGGTCTCAAAGTCAAAAATCAAAATGTTATTAAGGAAAGTTTTGTCACGTGTAATATTCACATGATTAATATGAAAAGCCCTATCTCTTCTCATTCAAAATGTTTTGGCCATTTCAAAGTATTGTCTATCTTTTTAAAAGCATGTCAAACTTCAAGGTCAAAGTCACAAAGTCAAAAATCATAGTGTATTCAGAAAGGTTTTATCACGGGCAATACACATGTATGTATACAATATAATATGAAAGTCCTATCTTTTCTCATTCAATATATCACACTGCTCAACGCGTTATCGGCAACCCGGTTGTTATCGGACACTCGGTTGATCACAATTTTTTTACAGGGTAGTAAATTATTTCAAATAAACTATGTTAAAATAGAAACAGAGAATATTCATTGTTATTTTTGTAAACAGAAATAAATATGGATGTAAAATAAAGCCTCGATACGTATTAGAATAGCATTTGTTAGCCTTGGGAAGGCTTTAAAAGTCAAATATGTTATATATTGCAAGTTTTTTTTTCCAATTGGCATTGCTGTAAATAGCTTTTGTCTTCAAAATCCTTATATTTACCTAGCGTTAATGATTGTCCACAAGAAGACATCGTCAGAATCTTGCAAATATGTTATTAAAGGACAAACATTGCCCAATTTTAACTTTCAGTATGTTATCGGAAATACGGTTGAATAATTCAGTTTGTTATCGGAAACTTCGGTTTTGGTTATCGGAAACAAAGGTTGAGATAAATTAGGAAAAATGTAAAGGAACGACAGAAATCCGCATGAAATCTAAATATATAAAGTGGCTGGCACACAATACAAATTTTTGGTTATTATTTACCTCTTTTAAGGATATGTAACTTTAAAAAATGCGTGTTTTTGGCATATCTCACTAATATCTGCATGATCTTGGCCTGTTGTTAAATGTGGTATTAGTTTCAAATTTCATTTCAAACTACCGAGGTCGCCCTTGGTTAGATCTAGAGTGTCTGCTCTAGAGCCGCCGAGTAAGGAGTCGATCCTTATACGTTGCTAGTGCGTATCCCAAAGTGGGACACCGCGATAGGTGCTAGCACAAAAAAAGATCCTTCACTGCTCAATAGCTCTAAGTGCCGAGTATAGGACAAGTATTGTAACTCTCCGCCGGCAAGTGGTGGCGTCTCCATATGACTTGAAAATTCTCAAGGTGGCGTTAAACAACACACAGGCACCTGAAGTATGGATAATACCCCCCCCCCCTTTTTTTAATGAAAAGAAATGTAAGAGTGTATAATACCTCAAAAATATATAATTAAGAATTATTATAAGAACAGTTGCCAGTCATTTTATCGACTTAGCAAAGGCGACACTGAGATTCAAACTCACAACATTTCCAACACGAATAAATTTATAAGTTTACTGGCCTTAAGCAAATAGGGCGTTAGACCAAGCTATATGACATAGAATTAAAACTTTTGAGGAGAAAGGAGATTGACATAAAAAATTACGAAATCGTAAACATGGATCTCTAAAAACATCGGAGGTTGTTTAACATACCAAGAAGGAATAAGAACCCCCTGATAAACGGTTACATCCAGCAGTGTGCTCTTCGTCATTATTGGCCAGATGCAATATGTAAATATAGAGCTCATCTCAGATAGATCGAGGGGGGATTCACATGGATAATGCATTGCTATTGGATGTTTTACTGAAGCAAAAATTCTTTGCCCCCCCCCCCCTCCACCCGCTCAAGTGTAACTGAAAACGCCAATCAATGACTGTAGGAAAAGTTAAACATATGAGGAACTGAAAATGAATCAAACTGTGACGTGATTCCGGGCACAAGACGAAAGACTACCTTTAAGCAATCGCTTAATGGTAGCTTAATGGTGACTTAATGGTGGCTTAAAGAAATTAATTCCTTTAAGCCACCATTAAGTCACCATTAAGCTAGACTTACAGGTGCTTAATGTCCAAACTTCATTAAGCTACCATTAAGCCACCATTAAGCTGAGCTTAATGGTGACTTAATGGTCAACCCCCATTAAACTTTTACGCATCTTATATAGAATCTTTTAACTTGCTTTTAGTTATTTTAATATCATTTACGCAAAATCTATTCCATCTCATAATTCTGTCTCGATCATAATATCTACGAGTTTTTTGTCAACATGCATAAACTTGATCACTGGGAACGAAGTTAGCTAATAGCCACAGGGGCTTGCTCGAGGTGTCTAATTTTTTCTTAAAATCATTTACAGTGATAATAAAACAAGACATCATGTATCAGAACTGTATATTATTTTTATTTTTTAAATTAACCATTATTACATGCGTTGTTTTTATTTTTAGTGTATATGATTTTTAAGAATAAATAATTATTACACACCGTGGGCAAGTCCTTGTGAAATATCTTAAATGTACAATACCCAAAATCAATTTGTTTTTAGAATTATCTATATTCCGAACACAAAACATATATTACTTTATTAAAATGGTCATTTTATTTCATATGTAAAAAGAAACATTTCGCTACAGAATTCACAGGAATATAACTATATGATCTCATGAAAAAAAACCTTTGTCCTTTTTTTTGGGGGGGGGGGGGGGGGGGCTACTGGTATACAAATATTTAGTTTTCAAAAATTTACTTTTACCATGAAAAAATTTTTAATGGCTTTTACATCATGAATAATTTTAATTAATTCATTATTTTGTTTAATAATGCAGCGGTAAGTATCTGTCAAAATCTAGTCGGTCTTCAATGATTGTTATTTCAAAATCGATTTTCAGAGGAACGGCCGATCAGATTAAACATGACATCCGACCAGATGTATACACATTAAGAAACGGGGTAGGATTAACAGATAATCCGTGTACAGTAAACCGGCTGGTCAGACAATAGACCTTAATTAGGTGTCCCCCGTCCCCGGTTAACTAACAGGAAACTATACATACACAACGTACACTGACAGATTTTAATGATCAATTATTTAAAAAAAAAATTAAATTTAACGCAAGCATATAACAAATCAAAAATTATGATTCATCGTAAAAAGTCAATTATTTTGATACCCATTATGATACAAAAAGAATTGAAACTGAATATGATATTCTAAAAAAAGTTTTTGTAAACGTAATTAACCAGGTAACTCTTACTCGAGGATTGTTACTAAATTGTTGACACAGAAACCGTTAATATCCGCAGTATATTAAAAATAATAGTAGAATCTGTTTTTTTCCTCTTTCTTTTTCGATGATAGACTTTTGTGTTTTATCTATAATTAATTTATCTTCAATCATGATTTAATGCTTACATTTCGAAAATTTTCGAATAACACTAACAGAGCGAAGAACTCAATCACACTACATCAAACTAAAATCCGAACTCTGTGTAGAAATATATATATTAATGTGTTAAGATCCAAAAATAAAATTGTTTATATTTTGATTAATAAACCAATTCAAGACGTTTGGAAATGTTCAACAAAATTCTAGTAAAAACCTTAACAAGTCCAATCAAATTTTGAAAAAAAATAAAGGTTAAATATTTAATATTCTCCATATTTAATCAGGAGCGGCGATAGCGTAATGGATAAGGCGTTTGCCTTCGAAACCTAAGGTCATGGGTTCGCGCCCCCACTGCGGCGATTTTTTTTTTTTTTTTGATTTTGAATTTCGGTCTTTTTCATTATTTTTACCAAATCAAGATAAAACGAACTCTACATTTATAATAATGATAACAAATCACTCTAAAAATAATTTTTCACCCATATAAACAATATAATCGACTGCGTAATGTGAATTAATGGTGGCTTAATGGTAGCTTAATGGAGTTTGGACATTAAGCACCTGTAAGTCTACCTTAATGGTGGCTTAATGGTGACTTAATGGTGGTCTAAAAGTAACCATTAAGAACCTGTAAGCCACCATTAAGTAACCATTAAGCCACCATTAAGCTACCATTAAGTTAGAAATTTGGCTTAATGGTGGCTTAATGGTTACTTAATGGAAGCTTACTGGTGGCTTATAGGTGCTTAATGGTGGCTTAATGGTGGTTTAAAGGCGGTCTTTAAGCCACCATTAAGCACCTATAAGCTACCATTAAGTCAAGCTTAATGGGAGCATTTCATCTTGTGGGGGATCATGGGGGAACTTGATTTAAAAAAAAATAATTATGTAATACTCAGTTTATCATAATACAAAAGTAATTGTTATGATAAATTAAAGATTTACGTCTGAAACCTCCTGAAGCTTAAGGAGGTTCACTTGAATGGAAAACATGAAAAAATGATTAAACAGATAGGATAGTTCTATCATTTATATTATTTATCTTATTTATAACCATTCATATCAAAACAAACTTACGAACCTTACAGACAGCCCTTGAAAATAAATTTTAAAATTACTTTAAACACATTACGTTTGCTTTTTTCAAGAATTGACAGACTATAATGGACTTTTTCCAAACTATTTATGAAGCTAAAGGAAACTTTTTAACCTGCGTTTCCAATAACATACACCCTTCAAAAACCGAATTATCCGGCTACGTATTCAACTAACGAGACATTGCAAATGACTGTTTTCTAAGCCTTAATTTAGATTTTTAATCTAAGTTTGCTGATTTAAATTAAAGGTATTTGATTGTCCAAAGAATAAATATACCAGTTTGATAGAATAAATTAAAATTTGAATTCTACAAAAGTTAAATTGTGATGACATAATCCGATTTTTTTTAAATAAAATATTATCTGAGAGAGCTGTAGATCTTTTGATTCGGTTTGTGCTTTCTGCTGCTGAAAGTATAATCAATGATCTGTCATAGATCACAAACTTCGTTTGCTGAAATTCAAATTATTGTTATCTTTTTAAGAACTGATAGCCTTGACAGCAGAATATCATGGAATTTCGTCTTTTTTTAAATCTCTCGTTTAAACAGATGGAAATTTTTTAATCTAGGTTTCCGATAACCTGCACCTGTGAAAAACCGAATTATCCGGCAACTTCAACCGTGTTTCCGATAACATGTTTTTGCCCACTGAAACATTTCAAATGCCCGTAAAATAAACCATAATTTGAATTTTGATATATGTCTGCTTATCTAAAGGTTTATGATTGTCCATATAGTTAATAAATCACTTTATTTTATAAAACAAATTGATTCTGACCTCTAAAAAGACTAAAATATGTTGACATATTCAGAAAATTTTATTAAATTTCATTTTAAAGAGCTGTAGATCTTTTGAAAGAGTGTGATTTGGATCGTGCTTTTTACCGCTGAAAGTATTATCTTTTATCTGCCAAAGATTACAAACTCTGTTTGCAGAAGTACACAATTATCATTGAATGAAGAAATTTAAAGTCACCTACGTTTTCTTTGCATTGTTTTTTCCTGCACCGAGTATCCGATAACAACCGAGTTGCCGATAACGCGTTGAGCAGTGTGTATATATGACCAAGGAAATAAAGTTAAAGATTTGTAACGGACAGACAGACGAACGAGATTGAAAGTCCTCTCACTTTCGCGGAAGCAGGGGGACAATAAACATAGTGAACATGTTAAATCTCATAGTCTCGTTCAACCAGACCCTCGGCTGTCTCCGTAAATCTCCAACCACCTAGAGGCGGCCTCTGGGTGGTTGGAGATTTACGGAGACAGCCGAGGGTCTGGTTGAACGAGACTATAAATCTCATCGTCTGAAACCTAGTTTGCAGTCTAGCTGCATCAACTCTCTCTCTCTAAGCGGCAAGAACGGAAAATGACCGTTGTGGTTGTGTTTGCGACAATTCAGGGATAAAAAAGTGCATGGTTTTAAACAAGGTTTTAATACAGTATCAAACTTTGCTCAAATATAAAAAAAAACACAACACAACCCGCTGACTTCCTCTTTATAGCGTTACTACTATGTACGAATGACTTTCCAATTTCCATATTTCAACTTTCGTTTTGTAAAAGTCAATCATTTACTGAAATAAACCTACCGAAATGGAAGAAAGGATCCAAAATGATATTTAATTTAAACAATATTTTATTATGATAAACATAATTGGATTGGACAGCAGGCACTGCCTATATAAGTCCTTTCCACAATACAAGGTCAAAATCATACATGTACAAGTAAATATTATTAATATAACATTGAAAAATATAAATATATACATGCATATATTCATTAGAAATGTATATGACAAGGCAAATTAAGGAGAACAAATAAAAAGAGAAATATATGAGCTGATAATATAATTTAAATTCATATTTTAACATATATGACTGGCAATTATATGAATAATTGTATAAATTTACAAAAAAAAATGAATAAGAAAACATAAATAGGTTTTGGTTCTGTGATTTGACAATTGAAAAACAAAAGCAGATAGAATATCATGCAAATCTCTTTGTAGTTGCAATAAATTCTTGAACAAGTTTAAATATTGCAATATTTTGGTTGTATGTAAGATTATTGTCTCCATTTAGAATAAGTTGTAAACATAAAGGCATTGGTAATTGCAAAGTATTAAAGTTTTGTATTAGGTTCTGTCTTTGCATACAGTATTTTGGACAATTCATAAAATAGTGATATGATGTTTCTGAATTAAACCCGCACATGTCACAACT